GAGAGACGTGCGGCTAAACCCGAATGTTTCTAGTTCTCGGTCTAGTGTTAGTTCTAGTGACACTGCTAGTTAGTGTCAGTTAGTACTAGATAACGCTAGATTTTATACTGTTGGTGCAGTAAAACTAGAACTAACACTAGACCTAGAACTAGCATCATTCGGGTTCAGCCGTCTTGACAGACATGCGGCTAAACCCGAATGTTTCTAGTTCTCTGTCTAATGTTAGTTCTAGATTTACACTAACACTATCACTAGGGCTAACACAAGACCTAGAACTAGAAACATTCCGTTTAGCCGTACCTCTCTTAAGATGGCTGGTAGGTAACACTAGTTAGCATAAAATACCACTACCACTTCTACGTCTAGTATTAGTTCTAGTTTTAATTGTTTCATAAATATCTGAGCTGATAACATCAGATTATAATTTTTATTAGTATTTCAAAACAGAAATAAAGTTCTAAAAATATTTTAAAATTATTTGCTACCTACAACATAAATAAATTCATTCAAGGAAAACTAGGAAAATGTAAGGAATCCGCCCCCTTTTCAATTTTCTTTGTTCGTAATCGCATTCGATTTCTTGCAAGATGCAATCTGTTTAGAAGCTCGACTGCTTCAATTCGTATTCGATGAATTATTACAATGTAAATTTAACTTTACGTTCCATTATAACCGGATTTCTCTTGACGAGAAATTTTCTTTTGTCGCTACAACGACGTCTTTTTCTTTCGCTCTGAAAGAAGCGATAACGAAATATTTTATTAAGTATAGCGACGACTTTAGTTTTTAAAGTTTCAAACCTAACGGGACCTTACTAACTAGATAAAGAGAAGAGAGGTTTTAAGACAGTTCCGAAACTAGTTAATTATTGAAATTTGGTGAAATGGATCAATAAGGAAAACACCTACACACTGGAAGGATACGTTACGTGTAGCTATTTAGATTCCATAAAAACACAAAATTGTAAATTTAGATTTTATATTTTGATTTCGCACTCACACCTAGTACATTATTTCACGGTTGACCTTTCTAATTTTCCATACCATTCAATTTAACGAACAACTCCATTCGGAAACCGCTACAATGAAAATTAAAATAACGTTTTGAGTTCTCTTTCAATTTTTTTAACCGCTATTCGTTTCGGATTTCCGAATTATTCTGATTGGCTTTTTTTACATTGACCATTTTCTTTAAAACACAAATTGAATTTTTATTTTATTCATTTATTAATTCAAATCAATTAACTTTGATTCTTTTTGTTACAGTAAATGGTATGAGAATAACCAGCTTATCAGCACCGAAAATCGCGGATCTCAGAGACAATTTAATTCTCGAATGTAAATTCGATACCGGAGGCGAACAATTATTCGCTGTTAAATGGTACAAGGATGAACAAGAATTTTTCAGGTAAATCAAACCATTTTAACAAATTATAAATAGTACATACAATTTTCCTTATAAATATTACAATCTTTAATCATTTTTACCTGGAAATTTTAATAATATTATCTTATAATTTTATATCATATCATAAATTTACATTTTTAAGCTTCAATTTAACATACATATCATAATCTGATTCTTAAAATCACAATCGATATGATTTTTTGAAAATTTCCTGTTATTTTTGATTTATAAATTTGACAGTTTCTTCTTTAATCTTTTTTTCCTAAAATTTTCAATAATATTACCTTACAGTTTTTTTATCATATCAAGGTTCAATTTAACATAAACATATCATATCATGATTCTTAAAAATACAGTCGATCTGATTTTCTCAAAATTTTGTATTACTTTGATTTAGACATTTAGCAATATCTTCTTTAACAATTTTAATAATATAGCATTATAGTTTTTATATCATATCATAAACTAGAATCTGTATGCTTCCATTCAACATACATATCATATCATGATTCTTAAAAATACAGTCGATCTGATTTTCTCAAAATTTAGTATTACTTTGATTTAGACATTTAGCAATATCTTCTTTAACAATTTTAATAATATAGCATTATAGTTTTTATATCATATCATAAACTAGAATCTGTATGCTTCCATTCAACATACATATCATATCATGATTCTTAAAAATACAGTCGATCTGATTTTCTCAAAATTTAGTATTACTTTGATTTAGACATTTAGCAATATCTTCTTTAACAATTTTAATAATATAGCATTATAGTTTTTATATCATATCATAAACTAGAATCTTTAAGCTTCAATTTAACATACATATCATATCATGATTCTTAAAAATACAGTCGATATGATTTTTTGAAAATTTCGTATTACGTATGATTTACAAATTTAACAATTTCTTCTTTAATAATTATTTCCTCGAAATTTCAATAATATTATCTTATAATTTTTACATCAAATCATAAACTAGAATCTTTAAGCTTCAATTTAACATACATATCATATCATGATTCTTAAAAATACAGTTGATATGATTTTTTGAAAATTTCGTATTACGTATGATTTACAAATTTAACAATTTCTTCTTTAATAATTATTTCCTCGAAATTTCAATAATATTATCTTATAATTTTTACATCAAATCATAAACTAGAATCTTTAAGCTTCAATTTAACATACATATCATATCATGATTCTTAAAAATACAGTTGATATGATTTTTTGAAAATTTCGTATTACGTATGATTTACAAATTTAACAATTTCTTCTTTAATAATTATTTCCTCGAAATTTCAATAATATTATCTTATAATTTTTACATCAAATCATAAACTAGAATCTTTAAGCTTCAATTTAACATACATATCATATCATGATTCTTAAAAATACAGTTGATATGATTTTTTGAAAATTTCGTATTACGTATGATTTACAAATTTAACAATTTCTTCTTTAATAATTATTTCCTCGAAATTTCAATAATATTATCTTATAATTTTTACATCAAATCATAAACTAGAATCTTTAAGCTTCAATTTAACATACATATCATATCATGAGCGTTAAAAATACAGGCGTTATGATTTTTTGAAAATTTCGTGTTATTTTTTGTTTATAAATTTGACAATTGTTTCTTTAATCATTTTTTACTGGAAATTTCATTAATATTACCTTATAGTTGTTATATCATATCATAAACTAGAATCTTTAGGCTTCAATTTAACATACATATCATATCACAATTCTTTAAAATACAGTCATATGATTTTTTGAAAATTTCGTATTATTTTTGGCTAATTAGACAATTTCTTCTTTAATAATTTTTTCCTGGAAATTTCAATAATATTACCTCATAATTTTTATATAGTAATACGATAAACTAGTTTATGGTATTATTACCATAAACTAGAATCTATAAGCTTCAATTTAACATACATATCATATCATAATTCTTAAAAATTCAGTCGTATTCCGGATTATCCTGATTTCTCTCAATCTTATCCAGTACAGATTTTTTTTTAATTTTTAAGCTGTTTTTTTGGTCTCTTTCTCATTACACTTTGTACTCCTTTTCTTCACAAAAAAAAGACATGTTACAAAATCAAAGGTCGCAGTACAACAATCACGAGCGTGACACTCCTCCCATCACGTTGAGTGATTGAGCTTTACATCTGTGACAGCAGAGAGATAGAACAACACGTTACTCTACAGAACTTGTGTGCTTAAAGTTCGTTTTGTAACAACATAAAATATTAAAAGTATTAAATTCGAGCTTAATGTGGCTGTAAACATCGCGTGATCGTTTAATGACCCCAAGTAATTCATGACACAATTACAAACAGGCGGAGGTGTCAAAACTATTAGGGTGAATAGAGTAAATGGTCGTTTAACTTGATATAGATAAAAAATAAATTTGGTTTATACGACAGTTTCACGGCGGTGATGCGCTCTATACAACTATTGAATTCTCTCGTACTATATAAAATTTAAAATTTACAAGACAAACTGCCAAGACGTGCTTAGCTTACAAGTAACATTGTTCTACTCTAGATAACGGTGAAACTTTGATATTTACACCATCTAAAATATAAATTGTAGGTTTACTTATTTATATAGTAATAAATTTCAAAATTATTAGTTAAAAAAAAATCTGTTGATCCGATTTTAAATATTCCCGCCCATTTAGTAAATATTGTGAATTTACACATGACCATAAATTTTTTCTGCCTATTTCAATATGCGAACCATTAAAAAATAATAATATCGTACTAAAAATAACTGGAAAATCGTATTGTTTTTAAATAAACGTTTGATAAACCCCAAAAAAAAAAATAAATTTGCATTTATCTCTAATTATCACCCTAATTACTCGTACTATATCCACTAAGATAACATCCTGAATAATTCAGCAATTCGAATTTCGAAGATAACCCAACATTAAACGTCTAACAGATACAATCTCAACCCGAATACATCTATATTTAATGAAACGGATTAGTTCCGAAACGAAAGAATGTGGGGTTGGGAGAAATTCAAAGCTGAGGATATTGACGTCCGTTTAATATTCCGTCATAAAAGCTACGAAAAGCAAGCACGCGAAAGCAAACGAGTAAGGTTCGACTACAAGCATCCAACCGTTTAAAAGGCCACACCAGATGTCGACCTAAATTCTATGGAAATTGGAACATCCATAGCTAGTTCGGCCACATATTCCGTATTCAGTTGGGTTGTAATACGTTTCATGGTTCCAAATCAGAAATTGGCAGTCGATTTCAAACTAACAATAGATAACGTTTTCATTGTGGATTATCGTTTTTGTTGAAATTCGTAAAAGGATTCTTTTTTAAATTATAACATTAATATTTTAAATTAGTTTTTGACTAGTGTAATTAATTTTCTTCAACCGATGGACCAAAAAGTTACATGAAGCACAACACATTAAGTTCTCTGTTAAAGATTTTTTGAAGCTATTCAATGTTGTAGTGTTTTACAAATCGATAAAAATGTCGTATCTCAAGAAATATCCAAAAACATCGTTGTTATGATTTTTTAAACCCAACTCTACATGTTTAATTGAATAAGGGCCGGTTGTACCAACTCCCGATAAATTTATCCGATAGATAAATTGGCGCACTTAGGTTCGTTACTACCATCTTCTGGTTAAGCTATCTAACGGATTATTACCACGGTTACGGCTATTTTATGTGCTCTGATTGGCTAGTAGATGGGTTTATCTATAAGATAAATTTATCTAAAAGATGGTAGTAATGGACCTTAGGTTCGTTACTACCATCTTCTGGTTAAGCTATCTAAGGGATTATTACCACGGTTACGGCTATTTTACACGCTCTGATTGGCTAGTAGATGGGTTTATCTATAAGATAAAGTTAACTAAAAGATGGTAGTAATGGACCTTGGCCAATGAGAGCGCTTAAAACAGCTGTATCCATGGTAATTATCCGTTAGATAGTTTATCGGGAGGTGGTACAACCGACCCTATGTCACTCGGTTATTTGTATTTTTATGAAAATTGGATTTGTGTCATTTTTCGGAACACTTTCATTACCACGTAAACTAAACCAAGTGTGAAAACTTTATTAAGTACAAAATTGGCCCAACATTTCTGCCACAAAATGTAGGTATATGGATGGATAGATACAGGATGGTCCATTTAACGTGAGACAAGCGATTATTTCGAAAATGGATCATTTTACATAAAAATGAACCAAATGAAAGTTGTTCTTTGCGAATATTATGACGATAACATTTTTTGACCTTGACCTTATTTTCAAGGTTATATGAAGGTCACGACCAATTTTTTAAATGGCATCCTATATATTTTATTGTCAAATCTGAATCTGTGGATAAAAGTAAAGTAATTTTACTGTGTGGTTTTGCCAGTACAATGGCAAAACATCTTTTGAAAAAAATTAACTCTTCTTCAGAAACAATTAACTAACTTTATTATAATCTACCAAGAACAAATAAGATTTATGAATTTTTAAACATTTTCCTACCTCCTTCGAAACATTGGCCCTAATGAATAAAATTTTAACAATTGCTTTAAGCAATCGCTTTTTAGGAAAAGCAATTTCTTCACAAATAAAAGCTAGCAGTAGAAGCAATGGCTAGATCATCACATGAATAAAATTTTTAAGCAAATGCTGCCGTTCCTACATCTCTATAGCAATTGCTTATTCGAACAGGTCTCAACCTGCAAATTTAGATAGTTCAACTTGTACTACTGTGTTGACGTTAATACAACACCGTGGGTTAAACAACGTTAATAAAACAACATTCTGTGCCATGGCAGATTCTAGTGAAAGTGAGGAATTTAACAGTGATGAAGAAATTAACAAACAATTAATATTTGTCCACAAATTAATTTTGTCTTTTTTGCTGTCCTAATTGACAAATTATATTTGATGATAAATTGTTTAGCTATGTTATGAAGCACAACGCAAGATATTATCGTCGATGGTATTCTTTCTAATCGACCCCTAATTTTATATTGAAGGACAGGAAATGTTATTATAATTTTGCTGCTGTTGGGTTGTGGGATTTCTCCAGGGAGTCATAATCCAAGGCGATATAGAATAACCATCATCTCCTAACAATACAGATTCTTCTGTACTGTTTTTAAGAATGCAATATATTCTAGAATTTTTGAAAATTCTGCTATCGTGTGCAGACCCTGGCCATTAACTGTCTACACTAGTAAAAATTACATTACACATTACATGTAGCCTGTACGTTAATACTGGGGTATCCTTTTCGCTTTATATATTCATCTCCGAACTCATGAAACTTTGGAATTCTAACATGTGTGCAGCCTTTCGTACCGATGGCAGTTGGAAAACGGCATCTCTGACCATAACAGTTTAGCTTCTACAAAATCTTCAGCACATCTAAGAAATCTAATAAAAATATTAGCTTCTTCCAAAACTGCATGCTTTATGGAAGTAAATGTCTTACAGGCAGTACTTTGATGAATACCGAGTTCTTCAGCTACAGAATTTTGAAACCCCGGATCGGATAACTGTCGCAGGTGTCTAATGCAGCATCTCCCCTTTCACCACTATCAGTCAAAAAGTAATTTGCTAACCACTCAATATTTTCGCGATCAAACCGATATAACTGTATATTTTTCGTTTACACACATTTTTCATATATTCAGCCGTGTATGCTGTAGAGATTCAAAGTTGACTATACAAGCAAATGATGCAGGGGTCGACCTACCTTACAAATATGCAAGCAATTGCCATACTAGAAAAAGCAATTCCTTAGTTTATTCATAACATTTTAAGCATATGTAAGCAATTGCATCTATTTTTTTAAGAAAATAATTCGACTAGAAAAGCAATTTCTACACTTTTAAGCAATTTTATTCCTAGCAGCAAGAAATTACTTCAATTTTTATTCATTGGTTTTCAAGTATTTGCTTTGATTTTGCAAGAAAATTCATTAACGCATGAAAAACAAGAGTTCGTGGAACTGCTTATGTCGGCATTTTCAGAATATCACTTTCAGAGACTTAATTGGTTGAATTGTTTTAAAATGTAACAGGTAAAACTAAATTTGCATAAAAACTGCTTGGCAACAAATTCTGAATTCATTCCATCCATCGTTTTACATTAAGGCAAAGTGTTTAAACTAAGTCATTAAATCATGAATACTCTAAGTGTGGCAGAAAAAGTCGAAATGATTTTTATTTATGGAGAGATTGGCAGAAAAGTTGCTGATAGTGTGCTTTGTGAAATACGCCTTCGAGAAGTACCTTTTACAGAGTTGTGAATGATTTCACTAACACTGGAAATGTGGAACCAAGAAAAAGAACTCTGCGAGCAACTGTAACTACGGAAGAAAAGGAAATTGCGGTATTAGCTAGCGTTGAGGTAAATCCTCAAGTTAGCACTTGACGCGACGACTTGTAATTGACGCCGGAATATCGAAGACCAGTACATACCACATTTCATTGCATCAACAGCTTTATGGAGGTGATTTTGAAAATCGAACGAATGCGGTTGGACGTCAATTTCTTTGGTAACGTGCTATTCTCGGATGAGTCTACTTTTACAAACAAAGGACAAGTCAATAGACAACATTTCACTATTGGAGTGTTGAAAATTCGAGATGGTTGCGTGAAGTAGAACATCAACGACCTTGGTCGGTCCATACTTAATTGATGGTATGCTAAATGGGGAGAAATTTTATAGATGACGTCTTACCAACGTTACTTGTAGATTTGAGCAGAGAAGAAAGACAAAATATGTGGCTGCAAAATGATGGGTGTTCGTTCAGTACATTTTTCACATATTGCACGTGAAGCTTTAGATCGGGATTATGCTGGGCGATGGATTGGAAGGGGAGGTCCAATTTCTTGGTCTGCCAGATCACCTGATTTAACACCTCTTGATTTTTTATGGGGCGTCCTTAAGGATAATGTTTATCGCGATGTACCGAGTATGCCAAAAAACATGAAAGAGCGGATAAGAAATGCATGCAAAAATGGTAGCCAAGAAAACCTTTTAAGATATAAAGAAAGTTTTAGTAGAAGGGTTAATAAATTGTATTGAAGTGGGTGGAAAAATAAGATCAACGTCAAAAAATATTATCGGCATAGAACAACTTTCATTTGGTTAATTTTTTTGTAAAATGAACCGTTTTCGAGATAATCGCTTGTCTCCATTGAGGTCTTATATATAATCTAGAGTGCGTATGCTGTTGTCCCCACCACGCCTAAAATGAAGCCAGAAAGGTCGCCATGTTAGATGTACCAACTTAGCGGGAAATTCGAAATTCTTACATATACAGGGTGTCACACAAAAAACGCCCCAAGCTGTAACTCTGTCATTTATATTCCGATTTTCATGACCGAGGCATCAAATGAAATGGTTTGATGAATACTATGGTTCATGCTACAAATAAATTTTTTTCAAGGCCATCTTCAATTTTAAGCGATTATTAACTTTTGTTTTTCAAATTGCTCTATATATTTTTCTTCACGTCATTAGATATTGTTTTTCTGAATCCACTGATGTGCAATACGTCCACTTTGAAGATAGTTACTGATACATGTTGTCGCACAAGAACGCCGTAAGCTGTAACTGTGTTATTTAACTTCCGATTTTTATGAACGAGGTATCAAATGAAATGGTTTGATGAATGCTATGATTCATGCTACAAATAAACTTTTTCACGCAAAACTGATAACAGTCGTTAAATGCTATTTCAATGCCCGAAGCAGTTGTAAATGATACATATAAGTTGTTTTTTCATTTATCCCATGGCACACTACAGTATAATAGAAGTGACTTTAAGAGAATGTTCAGAAACTATTTTAATGTTTTTCTATGCTACAATTACAATTAATGTTGATGTATTGTACATTAATGGATTCAGAAAAAAAAACTCTATCCAATAGCGTGAAGAAAAACATACCGAGCAATTTGAAAATCAAATGTTGATAATCGCTAGAAAATGAAGATGGCGTTGGAAAAAGTTTATTTGTAGCATGAATCATAGTATTCATCAAACCATTTCATTTGATAGCTAGGTCATGAAAATCGAAATGTAAATGACAGAGTTACAGCTTGGGGCGTTTTTTGTGTGACACCCTGTATATATAATTCTTGCATAAGTAAGAATTTACATTATTATAAACTGGAAAGGCAGAAAGTAATAACCAAAACAAAACATTAATAACTATTGATAAATAATTATTAATTATATGATATTTTAAAAGAACTTAATAATTTTTAGCCCTAACCCTTATAATTAACATAAACTAAGAAGAAAATATTTAAAGGAATTCCAATTGATCACGTTAACCTTTGCTTATAAATAATTGTTAGTTAAAAAAACTGAACAGTCCTTAATAATAAACTTTACTTGAACTTCATTTGAAGACCTCGGTGCAAGAAGGGAGTAGCTCCATTTATCAAGAGAAGGAGTTGTCCCCTTCTTATACCGAGGTCTTCAATTGTTAATTCCAAGTCAAGTAACCAGAAACATTTTATGGACTGTTGTAAATAATCGTCCAACCTATCAAATTATAAAAAAACATATGTGAAACGAAAAGAATTCGAAAACTTTCAACAAAAATCAAATTTTAATAAAAATAACAATATGTCTATGAGAATTGTGAGGTTATAATTGTAGGTACAATAGAGACTTGAAACTATAGCTAAGTTCAGGTCGGTACATGCAACATGTCTGACTTTCTGATTACCCCCACCACCACCACATACGCTCTCTAGATTATATATAAGACCTCAATGCTTGTCTCACGTTAAATGGACCATAAATACAAGATTTATGTCGAATACGATGTTATAAAGTACATGTGTTATTTATTAATTTATTTTTTAATGGTTCATAAAATATTAATTGTTTCAGGTATAAACCATTAGGAAGCCCCTCAGAGATGTCGTTTCCAGTAGCGGGCGTTCATTTACGAGGAGCATCGTCGAATTGCAGCCGGACGCAATGCAGAGTGGTGCTCGATCATCTAAGCAGAGACCACAGTGGCGGAACGTACCGATGCGAAGTATCCGGAGAAGCACCCGCTTTTCGCATCGCTTCCGAAAGCCACAACGTTACGGCCGCAGGTGAAAATTCACCCTTTCCTACCATCTCCCAACACCATTACTAAACGTTACCAATTCAAACACCACACAAATTAAACACTACGTTTATTCCGAGCTGACTATTCACTTTTAGTATGTACCGTTGGTAAATCGATATTGTTATAGATTTAGTACTTTTTGTTCCAGCTTTACCAATCGAAGATTTAACCATTGAAAATCTTCAAAGTAATTATCAAGAAGGTGAAGTTATAACAGCGGATTGTATCAGCGCCCCTTCTGATCCAGCTCCGTTACTTTCTTGGTACATGAATGGGTATCAGGTATGTATCCGATTTTAAATTAAAAATGATTTTGAATGTAATACAAAATATGTGTAATAATGGACGTCGATTATATTTTGGGTAGGATAAAGGGGATTACCCTCGACCTTACCCTTGGGATAACTATAACGCGGTGTCATTTTAATATGAGAGGAAATATGGATCAAACCGTTCATAAAATCGTGTGTTTTCGAAAATGGTTACAGACAGGCCGTTATTTGTGAATTGTTATCTCGTTCGATTCCCTACGGGTGAAATATGACCCAATTTTCCGAACTATTAATAATTATTTTCGAATAAATGTTAAAAAAAATGTGGTCAAAATTTTAAATCATCACCAACAAAATCAAAACATCGGGCTATTTTCATATTAATTTAATTTTTAAGTATTAGCACAACTTATTTTTTGTATTCCAGGCATTAAGAAAATACGTTGGAGAAATGAACAGTTCAAAACCAGATCCTCAAGGACTCATCTTTCGATCATTAACAATAAAATTTGTGGCGGATAAAAAGCTGTTTCCAAACGAAGGTCGAATGGAGTTATCCTGCAGGTCAACATTACCAGGTATATCCATTGACGCGCAAGTAATCGAAAAGGTAATTTTGCTCAAGAGCCACAACTCACAAACGGCAATCAAAAATCAAAAGCTTCACTGGTTGAGTAGTTCCAGCAACCCATCGAGAATATCGATTCTTTTGTACACTTTAATCATTACAATGATCGTTCTTTCAACGTTTATTCGTGAAAATTTACTGCTTAGATAAGTGCTCAGAGACACTTGTTATTGTGTGAGGTTGTGAGTTTGTATATGTTTCTTGAGGTGTCTTCAATTATTATGAAAATGTGATAAAAGATGTTTAGATTGTTCGTTCGTTTATCACGGGGTAAATATGAGGCTCTCAGGTAGCCAACATTCATTAAATAACATTAATTTGATTATTTAACATATAAAAATTATTTTCATTTAAATTACAACAGATAAACAAATTAATTGTTTAAATTAAATTTTTAACCACAACATATCAGTAAAAAATTCATTTAATTTTAATTAATTAATCATTAACCTTCCAGTACACGCACATACATTTGCATCATAAGCTCTGATGTTTATTGAACTAAAAGTAGAACGAATACTAAAGCTAGATCTAGAAAGATTCGGGTTTAGCCGTGAGTCTCTTAAGATGACTAAACCCGAAACTTTCTAGTTCTAGTGTTAGTTCTACTTTTACTTGTTATTCCGCGCCAGGTTGTTGCACATTTTTAATAAACTAACACTAGATCTAGAATTAGAATCATTTGGGTTTAGTCGTACGTCTCTAAAGACGGCTAAACCCAAATGTTTCTAGTTTTAGGTCTATTGTTAGTTCTAGTGACAATGTAAGATAGCGCTAGTTAGTACTACATAGCGCTTATTGTATATTATTGTTGAAGTAGCACTAGATCTAGAATTAGAATCGTTTGAGTTTATCCGTACGTTTTTAAAGACGGCTAAATCCGAATGATTCTAGTTCTACGTCTAGCATTAGTTTTACTGACAGTGGTAAAGTAAATTACTGGTTGTATATAATTTAAGTACGGAGTCAAATACTGGGATCATCAACCGTGGGGTGAATAAAAACCTCCTTTACTAGTACCTTAGCTTTCGAATTTTATTTTTAATTGTTGCATCAGAGGAAAACGCTATTTTATTAAAATAAAAGAAACAAATCAAACAATTTGTACAATAAAAACTTAACCTAACTTACAGATAGAGGTTGCAAGTCGCAAAAATACCCATAAGACCCATAACTCAAACAGGGGCCCAGACAGTAAACGGCCCAATAAACCGCCGGAAAACCAAAAATCCAGCACGATGGCACAGGAACAATCAAATTCGAGAACAAAACCACAACAACAAGAACAACAGGTGACTTCTTCTTCCTTCTTCTTCTTAAAACCAGGGGTATCCACTTGGTGTCTGGGCTTATATAGCCCTTTTACCACCAGTCACATTTTTTTTTTTTTGTTGTATCAGTTTATCCTCAAATTAGGTAGCCCTGTGGGGGGATAAAGTTCCAAAGATCAGAGACAACTTAAATAAACAGAACTACCGAAAGGGGGGAATGATCCTTCCTTACTACCTTAACCCATCAAACCACTTTTATTTGCTTAAGCACCTATAACCCACCGAACGGCGACAGATGTACATCCCCGGGTCAACCCCTCGAAAGGATGAACAGCTACCGAACAGTGATCCATGCATTAAAATAAAATCAAACAAAAATTCCTATCTTGTACAAAAAATAAAAAAGCATTCTCAAAACTCTAGCGTTATTGGTTGCCAAAAGCATACTAACATTATATGGAGGAAAAATGCCCTCCCTTCTCAGCTTAACAAACATTCTACTTCTGTCCAACTCATACGTTTCACATGCCAAAATAATGTGGTTAAGATCACAAAATTCTCCACAACTGCAGTTTGGAGAATGGCGGATTCTCCTGCCAATCCTGTATAGATGTGCAGGAAACACGCCATGTCCCACTCTCATGCGATTAATTGTAGATATCATGTGTTTAGATTCTGAACGTAATAGCTTATACCATGCCCCTTCTCTGACATCCTTCTTAATCAACCACAAGGCTCTGCCCTTGAATCTGCTACTATCATCCCAATTCCGCTGCCATAAATCCAATACATCCCTCTTTAGTTCGTACAACAACAGGTGACATTCATGACAATTAAAAACCGAGAGCCATACCAACCCAACAGAAACGGAAAAAAGACAATTCCCCAAACCAAGGTCAAACCCAAACCTCCCCGAAAGACGAATCGTCGAGAGCTGAGGGACGAGCAGCATGTAACTTCACCAAATTGCAAAAAATGTCGCTAACATTTTGCACATCAGTGCGAAAATTTACAGAATTAGGTTCATTCACAACATACTATGGAGGAGTTGTCGAAATCGAAGGTATGTCCCGTGGTAAGATGGTGTTCCACAAGGGCCGTGGCATTAGACTTTTTTAATCTGCAAGTCTCTACGGTGTTGGTCGAGTCTCCTCTTAAGATATTGGCTGGTCATACCCACGTAGGAGCCGGAATAACCCTGACAGTTGATCTTATAGATCAAGTTGGATTTCAGACCATCGGGGGGTCGATCTTTCAAATTGGTAAAAATGCAGCGTAGAGGTTTGGTGGTATATTTAGCGAACTGTAAATTTCCGTCATTGAAAACCTTCACCAGATTATCGGTCAAACCAGGAATAAACGGTAGCTTAGCGAAACGTCTGACAAGTGTTTTATCCACATCAGGTGGGTGAGTCAGAGGACGGGAGACCACAGACAGGAGCCACCCGAGTGAGTCCTGAGGTGTGTCACAGGAAAAAAGGATCCTGTTTACTAGCGGAGCAGGATAATCATTGTTGCTAAAGATGTCAGCCAATAACTTAAGGTTTTTCAACCTCAGGGCCTCATCAAAAATGCGGAAGACTCGGTTCTTCATACCCCTCAACGTGTTGATTTTCATATTTAGGGGATGGCAGGAGAAAAAATTGATGAATCTCCCCGAATAAGTCGGTTTACGATACCAGTATTACGTACGACCAAGGAGTCCAGGAAGGGGACAGACCTATATGAGTGTTATGTCCGTTGAAAGTAGTCAAAGTCCGATGGCAAAGCACAAATGATGTCGTCGACGTATTTGAAGAGGAAGGGCAACTCGAATGCAGACATCAAGGACATAATCCATCACGATGGTTGCCAAGATAGGGCTGAGTGGGCTACCCATAGGTGTACCAAATTTCTGTTTATATATATCGCCATTGAAGGAAAAAACAGAGGAGTCAAACAGAAAAGAGATCATCCGTAAAAACAGCTCGATACCAATGAGCGTGTGAGGTGCCACCAACGACCAGTCTTCCCTGATCCTCTCAGTCACTATGCTCAAAGGAATATTGGTGAAAAGCGGCCAAGAAAGAAGACATGGCATAAGTAGGAGATCCAATGAACGAAATAATCGGCCGTAACGGGGCGTTATCCTTGTGTATCTTGGGAAGACCATAATATTTAGGTATGGTACCATCGTGGCAGTTTAAACATCTGTAGATATCCCTCGGAATGAGTTATATCCCTTTATTATATCCCTCCGTATTTACTGACAGTGTTAGGTAGCACTAGTTAGCACTAGATAACGATAGATTTTATATTGTTGTTGAAGTAAAACTAGAACTAACACTAGACCTAAAACTAGAAAGTATCGGGTTTAGCTTGTGAGACATGCGGCTAAACCCGAATGTTTCTAGTTCTAGGTCTAGTGTTAGTTCTAGTTTTAGACTAGCACTATCACTAGAACTAGCAAGACCTAAAACTAGAATCATTTGAGTTTAGCCGTACGTCTTTAAAGACGGCTAAACCCAAATGTTTCTAGTTTTACGTATAGTATTAGTTTTACTGACAGTGTTAGGTAGCACTGGTTAGCACTAGATAACGCTAGATTTTATATTGCTGTTGAAGTAAAAGTAGAACTAACACTAGACCTAGAACTAGAAAGTATCGGGTTTACATTACGTTACATTACATTACATAGAATACATATCGGGTAGGCGGACCAACCAACCTTGCACCGCGACCCTAAGGATCTATTGTACCCCGATAGATACCACTACAAAATTTCACCGTGCAGTCCAATGCTCTTAACGAACATTAATACCTTGCTCGGCGAAAGGTCATTCAGATCTTTTGAGGAGATAAATCTGATACGGTTAACGGCAGGGCAGTGGCATAAAACATGCTCAACCGTCTCTGCTTCCTCCGCACATNAGCGTTATTGGTTGCCAAAAGCATACTAACATTATATGGAGGAAAAATGCCCTCCCTTCTCAGCTTAACAAACATTCTACTTCTGTCCAACTCATACGTTTCACATGCCATAATAATGTGGTTAAGATCACAAAATTCTCCACAACTGCAGTTTGGAGAATGGCGGATTCTCCTGCCAATCCTGTATAGATGTGCAGGAAACATGCCATGTCCCACTCTCATGCGATTAATTGTAGATATCATTTGTTTAGATTCTAAACGTAATAGCTTATACCATGCCCCTTCTCTGACATCCCTCTTAATCAACCACAAGGCTCTGCCCTTGAATCTGCTACTATCATCCCAATTCCGCTGCCATAAATCCAATACATCCCTGTTTAGTTCGTAGACAATGTCACAACAACAGGTGACATTCATGACAATTAAAAACCGAGAGCCATACCAACCCAACAGAAACGGAAAAAAGACAATTTCCCAAACCAAGGTCAAAACTAAACCTCCCCGAAAGACGAATCGTCGAGACTTATTTAATCTGCATGCAGTCTCTACGGCGTTGGTCGAGTCTCCTCTTAAGATATTGGCTGGTCATACCCACGTAGGAGCCGGAACAACCCTGACAGTTGATCTTATAGATCAAGTTGGATTTCAGACCATCGGGGGGTCGATCTTTCAAACTGGTAAAAATGCAGCGTAGAGATTCACCAGATTATCGATCAAACCAGGAATAAACGGTAGCTTAGTGAAACGTCTGACAAGTGTTTCATCCAAATCAGGTGGGTGAGCCAGAGAGACATCAGAGGACGGGAGACCATAGACAGGAGCCACCCGAGGGGAGACCTGAGGTGTGTCACAGGAAAAAAGGATCCTGTTTACTAGCGGAGCAGGATAACCATTGTTGCTAAAGATGTCAGCCAATAACTTTAGGTTTTTCAACCTCAGGGCCTCATCACAAATGCGGACGACTCGGTTCTTCATACCCCTCAACGTGTTGATTTTCATATTTAGGGGATGGCAGGAGAAAAAATTGATGAATCTCCCCGAATAAGTCGGTTGGATTGGGTTGATCCGTATTACGTATGACCAAGAAGTCCAGGGGACAGACTTATTCCTCTTTTCCTCCAGGGTAAACTGTATATGGGTGTTATGTCCGTTGAAAGTAGCACAAATGATGTCGTCGACGTA